GATCTACAAGGTCCCTTCCGACCCAACTTCTATGATTCTTTCAGCTATCCTGTTCACACAAAAGCACTGTCATCTGTTTGGTGAGCATGCAGTAGTTTCACACCTCTTAAAAAAGCCCAACACGCCTCTATAAATTTTGCTTCTCTAAAAGGAGAGTAAGCGTGCCATGCACTAGCTTGGTAAATGTCAAACAGTTGCAACAATGATCCTATCAGAGCTGCAGATTGATCCCCAGGTCTGTTTTAAAAAGTGGGTTGAATACGCCAACTGTAAGACAAGCTGGCCCCCAATTCCTTCCCCCCTCCTCCCCTACACACACACAGAAGAGGTGGAGGCTGAATCTCAGGTACCCCTTGCTGGTATTATACCATATTTGCAACAGTAACCCTACCCTACCTCTCCCATGGAGCATACCAAATTTCAGAGCAATACGAGTAAGCCCATGGATATTAGAACATTTAGAAGAGCTGATTATTTTAAGGCAAGAGGTTCTCAACCTTAAGTATAAGTCCTCTCCACTATAATTACAAAAGAGGTGCATTTGATCTGAAAAGTGGGAGGGAGGGAGGGAGGGAGACGCAGTGCCATCAGCAGATCTCTTTGAAGTTAGGATACAAGTTAGGGTTGTCCTAACAGATCACACCAGGGTGTGTAATGATGAGTGGGAGAAAGCTAAACTTTAAAAAGTGAATCTCAGCAGATAGCAAAAAAGCAGCCTGTTAATTAACCATTGAAACTTTCAAAAATTGCTGATTCTCCACGTATTTCAATGAAATACCTTAAGAGGCATTTGGCTTGTATTCATGCAAGAGTTCCAAAAATGTTAATAACTAATACAGTAAAAAGAAGGACATGAGCTGAATATAAATATTGTTTAATTTATTACATTTTCTAGTAAATATAATTTTCAAAACATTCATCATAAAATGTGTAATTTGATATAAATTCCAAGTACTTTGCTTTGGCATTCAACAGAGCCTTATATCTTGTCTTCATGAATTATATGCCTCTATCACCATGAATAGAAACACAATATAAAATTTAATGAGGAAAAATGTACTAAAATGCTTACACTCCACTTCTTTTATTTTAAATATATATAAAAATAGTTTAGAATATGTACACCAAAATTATTAATCAGTTGAAGGAAGCTTTACAAACCTATGGCCCCAGTCCTGCAAACATGCACACGTACACACTCACACACACACAACCTTTATCTATATGTTTAACTACCTGGCTTTAATGATTTCTCATATGTAGAAGGTTATTCACTCAGGTTTGAAGAAACTGTACTGTCTGGGTTTTCAGAAGCCATACATGTGGCATCTGGGGCATTCAGGACACAAGAGGCTGATAATTTTAGTGAAAATGAGTTCTTTTGTCTTAAAACTATGCCCTCCTTGTATCTTTAATATACCAAAAGATGCCAACTCCCTACATCTTATGAAACTATCCAACACAGTATTCAAAATCAAAAGATTAAAATAAATGACTCAGGAGTTAATAATTTTATACTGGCTTTCTCTGCCGTTAAAAATGGCATCTTTCTTCCTTCACTTGATTTCTTTCTTCACTTCGAGGGTGATCAAAATGCGTAGCACCTTGTGCAAATGTTCTATTTGTTCTGTAAACTGGCCCAGAAAAAAACAAACAAACTGTTTGGTATGGTATCAAACATTTTTTAAAAACCCTTCAGTTAAGTTGGAACTTGTAAAAATAATTTACAACTCCGTGGGCACGTCTACATGAGATGCTGACTGCGCAGTAGCCTGACGCTACTGTGCAATAGCGTCACGTGACAAAAGCCACGCTGAGATACTGCTGTGCATTAGTATTAAGATACTCTGCAGTACCATCACTTAAAGATGTTTGCCAGTGCTACTGCGCAGCAACTCTGGTTACTGCACATTTATTTAGTATTTGCTTATACAAGTACTACATAAATGCTCAGTGACCACTGAGTAGTAGCATCTGGTTTAGACGCACCCTGGTAGAAGACTGCCAGCAGAGAAAAGGTGAAATTCACTCCTGGCCAAAGACCTAGACCAAAGCTTTTGTCTTAGGGTGACTCTCCCAGGATTCATCCTACAACAATAAACTCTGGAAAACCATTAAAAAATGCTGAAGATGCCTGTTAAATCAGAGAGCTGTTGTGAACCAGATTAAAAAGCACATTCATTTCCATTACAAAGAGATGTTTTGCTTCTGTTTTGATAAATGCACAGACTTTAACAGGCACAAGAGAAATATGGAGGGAAATGAGTTTTAGAAGTAAATACTGTTTTAAACTTGTTTATATCCGTTAAAGAAAATGACAGCGCATACAAGAAAATTAAGATGCCTTTACCCCCAGAAAAGATCTGTTTCAACATAGGGTTTTTTGAGAGATCATTTTGTTATGCAGATGTAACTAAACTGAAAGGGCACCCATACGCATGACAGATGTGTGCTCCAACGCGTGCTACTTATCACGCATCGGAGCAAACTCAATTAATTGAGTCTGCTGTCAGTCTGCCAGAGCATGCTAATTAGCGCACTCCATTAGCTTCCACATCACATGTATTCAGCGTCCTCATGTTTCAAAATGGCAATGGGGGCACTTAACTAAAGCTTGTTGAACTAAAGCTCTCAGAGTTAAAGTGCCCCCACCCCAGAGCATGTATATAGATGCCCAAAGAGTGCAACCATACTGCTTTGTTCAAACTGGCTTAAGTGATTTCATCTGTCAGTCAGAGAAATAAGTGGAGAGCTTTTTTGAGCAGGTGCAAGGTACAATGTTCCAACACTAGGATCAATACGTTATGGGGCATCATGTTTGATTATGAGGTATCTAGTGGAACGTACTGGTATTTGGGGCCAAATGCCAATAATTCCTTTCACAGTATTCCATTATCTAGTTGGACATTATGGGCATTTTTACACATGCATGCACCGCAGCACCTGGCACTTGCAGCACATGCATTTGTATAAACAACAAAATGCGTGTCAGTGCTGAGAAAATGGTAGCAGTGCGCTTTTGAACTAAAATACATCAAAGGTGTTTTAATTCAAAAGTGCACCACTGCCATTTTCTGCATGCTGATGCACATATCATCATTTATACAAATATATGCAGACTATGTTAATCAAATCTCCTCAGATGTGCTGGATTTCTGGTGCACGGGAGTGGACTAAGGTATGGGTATAAATGCCATATGACCCCAAAGCAGTGCAGAGTATTTAGATAGGAAGCAATGCAGCAGGGGATAACAATGAGAGGACTATCTGAAGTAGTGCAGTTAATTTGAAATTGGACACCTGTACATACACTTTAGAGTGGTATGCTCATTCCAAAACAGAATTATTTCACTTCCAAAGAGGATTAATTATAGTGAGATAAGAGACAGGTCTTTTTTGAAATTTTTGTTTTTCAAAGAAAATCATAATTTCTGTGCGCGTGCCTAACGAGTTTATATATTAAAGAATACCCTAAAAGGTATTCTGGCAAAAAGTTTGCCCATGTAGCAAGGCCTTGCAAAATATTTTCCTCTTTCAATGACTAGAACAAGTTGCAACCATAGCCACAAGTAGGTGGCTGCAAAATAAAACGAAACAAAAAGAAGAGGACTTAACAACTAGGTTTTAGGATTTTTGGAAGCCAAACTAGATTTCCTATTCTGAAAAGTGCTGAATCTTTCTGCAAGGACATTTTCCTTGTCTGAATTAAATGTAAGATAAGTTCTCTCTCTACATGCATGACTTAACTACATTACTGTCCTCAAATGGTATGTATGCTTAACAAGGAGTTGTCATAATGACAGTTTTATACTGAGCCATAATAAGATACCACAGAATTTCAGGACTTGTGGTGATGCATTTGAATTAGGAAGCTCTTCATTTAGGAGAAGGAGGTTATTCTCAAACTGTGCTAGCAATTCTTCCATCACTGCCTACCAGAAATGCTGGCTTTAGGCTGCGACTTCATGGAAGCATCCTGTAAATGCCATGCCATGCAGCAGCTTGACATTAATTATTCCCACTGTTTTGCAAATTGCCATCCAATCATCACAAGCAACTAACAAACCTCAACATGCTTGTCTCATCCAGTTAAGGTAGTGCTTTGGTGAAGACATGCATATTGCTATCGAGGGTTGATGACAGTTTATCTTGAGGTGGTTTCTTCTGCACAAGTCAGCCACAGTGATGAAAGTTGGTCTCCGGCAACAGCAACAACAGTGGGGGTGTTTAACCTCAGCATCCAGATTGAACGATATTTCCACCAGAACGCTTTGTCACTGATAGGGTGGTGAATATCTAAAATGAAGGAAACAGGAATACTTTGAGTATACGTAAATGAATCTCAGAGGGGGTAGAACTCAGACATGAAGAAAGCATGCTAAATCCATTTCTTTTCTAAATCAAAATACATGCAGAACCCATATGTACCACTGTCTTCACAATTCTCCCTAGGACTTTTTTGGGGGAAAGGATAAATTAATAAGGGAATGTTGTGTGTCTTTCGATCAACAATAATACACTCCAGTCTATACAATTATTGAGTATGTTGACTTCAGTTTGCTAGGAAACTGAAATCAACACAAGACAGCAGGTTCCTAAACAGAACGTAAATCATTGCCATAAACCCTTCTCACATCACATATATGTCACCATAATAGGAATTTTTATAGGCTGAAATTCACCCCAGTAAGAAAGGAACTGCACAAAGCCTTCCATGTTATTTTAGGCTGTCAACAGTGCTGCTGGTTGTGGGGCAGCAAAGAGTGATATGGCAACCAGATGTTTGACAACTGCAAGAGGACTGACTACGCTTGCACTGACATGCATCCAAAGGTTGGGAGCCTTGCTTAGGAAAAGGAAGCCTCGATTCCAACACGTAAGCCAAGATGCTGTGTTGCACCTCCAATATCCCACAAGGAGGGACAGGATTGGCTTCAAACTACCCAGGCATCTGTGCAATTCTGGGCTGCTCCAAGTGCTAACACAATCCCTGGCATAACTCCAAACAGCCTTGGAGCCCACTTAACGGTATGACAACCTACTTGGGATACTTAGGGAATCTGGGGCAAGCTGGACAGGCTTCAGAAGTTGAAGCCTCATGTCAATGGCACAAGGATCTGGTGGGGAAATAGTCTATGTGGAGCTACTTACTGTGCCTCAACCCAGTGAACTTATGATTTTTTTCCTAGAAACTTGCTTAGGGAAGTCATAGAATGGGCTTGTGGCTAGAGGTGACTGGACTGGAACTCCAGAAAGTATTTTTTATTCCCCTCTATCTTAGTTTTCCTATATAACCTCAGGAAAATTATTAACCTTTCTGTACCTCGGAGTCCAATCACTTGCTTCTGTGCATCTCTTCTCTCATCTCTAGGCATTCTGGCTAGTTTCTCCAAAGAGCTTACAATTGCTTACCACCCATTTTTACCAGTGTTCAGCACAGTAGGCCCCAAAAACACTAACATTATAAAAATGAAGGAACAGACTTCAGTGGGCTTTCAATCAGAGTGAGGTTGCCCCTCGCATTTTAGAAGTAGGCTGTTTGTAACCTTTGTAACCACAATTTTGATTGAAAGAGCTCATACATTACCAGAATAAAATTAAAAATGCCTCAGTACAACTCTTTCAGTATAGTTTTCTTATATACAAGCTGCCTTAATACTACGATGCACTTTGTTTTCTCCAGATAATACCCTATGAAATTCTTTATAGATATACATTTTTTTATTATTTTATGACAACCATAAAAATAAAAATACTAAAGATATTTTTATAAAATTAAAAAATATTGTAATTTCAGAAGAAAAAGAAACTACATAAAATCCAGCAAATTACCTGAGTTAATATGTGACATTTACTATACAGCAGGTAGCATTATTTTGCATATGTCTAATACAGGAAGGATTACAGAAAATCAAAACAGTTCCAAAACTGTATAAAAATAAATATGGTTCGCAGCTACAGTAATTAGCCACCATCAAAGTTATCTCTAAGGAGAATAAACCGAGATTAGACTATCTGGCTATTTCAGCCATGCAAATGAAACCCAAGGACATAATCAGATGTGCAGGCACATGCAGTTTCTGGTGCTGCAAACTTCTCTGAGGTGCCAAAAATTGCATGCCTGGCATGTTAAAACATGCCCTACACTGCAAATTTGCAGCACTGGGGCAAAAATTGCTACTGGGAGATCCCAATAGCAAAAAACAACTGCTGGCCTGAGCATCTCTGCTTTAGTTGTCCCCCAGCTGCTCCAGCATGGCAGGAGTCGGGAGGAGCAGGGAAACTGCAGTTTCCCCGAAGCAAGGCAATTTGCCTCACACCAAGCCACACATATAGAGGTGTATACTGCAGCAATTTTGTGCCACTACTACTTTTGCCGCAGCAAGCACACACACCTGCACGTGGGGATGTGCCCCAATTGTCTGCAGTTAACAGGGATCTAAAAACCCTGGAGTTTGGTGAATAGAAACCTTTTTGTACAGATTGCTAACACCTCTTTGGAGAAAAGCATCAATAAATAATACACATCTTCCTCTTTTATAAGCAGACTGTCGTAGCATAGTCATAGCAGAGCTACTGGCACGGCTGTTCGAGCACTCTTGGCACTTAGGTCAGGTCCCAGAGGACCGGAAAAGGGCCAATGTGGTCCCTATTTTCAAGAAGGGGAGGAAGGAAGGAAGGATCCGGGTAACTATAGACCAGTTAGTCTCACCTCTATCCTCAGGAAAACCTTTGAAAAAAGGTTATTAAGGATCACAGTTGTGGGAGACCAGCGAGGAAAGCAGTGCTAAAGGGCAACCGGTATGGATCCATAGCAGGCAGATCCTACCCAACTAACCTTGTTTCTTTTTATGACCAGGTCACAAAATGCTTAGATGCGGGAATCAAGGTGGATGTCATCTACTTGGATTTTAAGAAGGTCTTCAATACGATATCTCATTATATTCTCATAGATAAACTGAGAGACCGTGACGTAGATGATTACACAGTCACATGGGTGACAAATTGGCTTAGGGGTTGCACCCAGAGAGTGGTGGTAGATGGGTTGGTATCAACCTGGAAAGTTGTGGGCAGTGGAGTCCCACAAGGCTTGGTCCTTGGACCAGTGCTGTTCAATGTCTTTATTACAAACATTATCTGTTTCCTTCTTTATCTGAGCCTAATCTCTGTGTGCACCAGCCAGTTCTGGCTGCTGTGCAGTCTCTGCACAGCTTGTTGACTAAAACAAATCCAATGGAATCTATTTGGGAATTACTGGAAATGTGATTTTTTGATTGAGAGCTTGTTCAAGTGAAGACAAGATTATAGATTAAGTAACTGAAAAGCATATATTAATTAACCAGCTGAGCTACGCTGGTTTTATAAGAAATCTAACTTTAATCATATATCCTCAGTTTTAAATACTAACATTTTAAACAGCAAAACAGTCTTTCTAGGGGAAAAGACACCCCTCACCTCTACCTCTGCTTTTCTGAAGGTTCTGCCACTGAAATTCAAATGAAAAGTGTAGAGACATGTCACATTTACTGCTGTCTATCAACTTTACTTCACAGCAAGAGGAAAAGATTTACTGTACACCATCTTACTATGTAGTAAAAATCACTTGAACTCAAGATTGAAAAATATATAGAAACTTTACTATGTAGGAAAGTTACTATATAGAATATTTTGCATGTCTGTTCCTGTGATCAGTTTTATCCCACTGTATCTGCTCAATGCAAAATGGCTCTTCTGCCACCGAGTAGCCAAGTATATCAGTTTGGGAGAGTTTGTCACTTGTATGTTCTGCACTACAAAGTACAAAATGGGGTAAATTACTCTGTAGTAATTATGAAACGTGTCCACATTTTAAATTGAACTTTACTCTTTAAGCAGAGCTATTGATCTCAACAGGTCCTTTTCGCAGCAAATATTTTTGAGCCAAGCAAGAAAAAGCAAAATCTTGCTCTAATTTATAAAACGAACAAATTGCAACTCAATTCTTAGTCTTACTGAAGTTGTGCAATAGCGTACTTCTTATGGGGCTATTCAGGAAATGCAGCACATCAGTGTGGATGTCAATATCTGACCCTATAAAAATGCAAGCTTATTGCTTTCTGCAGGGATCCGATTTGCTTCTCTGTAGTTCGTTTATAAATGTATAAAAACTGGGCTGATGTCACTCATCACTCTAATTTGTTTCAATATATTCAGGACCTACAACTGCCACACAATTTTTAAACCTTTTTTTTTCTCACCGCTGCACTTTGATTTTTGTTGCCTGCACAGAAGATGAGATGACGAAACAGGAACTCTTGAAGGCTGCCACTAAAAATCATAATAACTCTCTGGAGCTTTTCATTTGTGTGTTTCTCCTGAACCAATTCCATTTTCTTGCCCAAATAAACATGATTAACTGAAATTATGTCTCCAAATTATGTCTAATCATAATTCTATTCATTTTCAATTTTAGCAGCTCAGATGTCCAGAATAAATTACAAGTATCATTCTATCTTCACACTACATATGCTAATTCCCTATTTGAATTCACAGGTTTGCCAACTCCCACTCAGACATCCACTCTAAAGGGCTTCTGATGAACTGAGAACTTGTTTCCCCCTCTGAGAACTTCTAAGAAGACCATTATAATATGCTATTACAGAGGAAACGAAAACCTTTGTCGTGGGTGCTTTGAAAATGATTCAAACAGCCACCAATATATTACATTCACAAAGACTGTGCTATGCTGTTTACTTTGCACACACAACACATACAAACACAGGTACATGGATTCTGCTATTTCTGCAGACTTCTAGTATTCAATGCTACAGCCTGTAGCTAAATTTTGCATATAAAAATACAGATTCAGCACAAAACCCACTGACTGGAATTCAAGAGTTAAGACGGTCCAGAAGGGATCATGGACCAAGGTTCTCAGCTGATATAAATTGACATAACCAGCTGTATCCAATGGAACCTGACTCCCCAGCTGAGGATCTGGCTGCCTTTCTCTATAGAAAAGCCAATATTTCAGTTTAAGTGAATTGCAAAACAAAAGTAAAAATAAATTATTTTGCTTTTCTATGTGATACTTTTTTATTTAATCAAAATGTTGAGTTAAATGGAATCTCTAGGGACAGATTTTAATAGGAAGGTCTTGATGTAGTTGTTCCTTTGGTAGAACACCAGTTTAAAGCCTGCTTTATAACTATCTGAAATTTTAGCCCTTGATAACCAATTGAGCAGAAGTAATATTTTAAGCTTCATATGCAAATTTATGAACAGAAATAGAATTCTGTGCTCTCTGACAGAGGAGGCAGTTCAACATGGCAGACCACAGTATTAAATACACAGTTAAATAATAAAAACCTAAATCCCAGTCTTGATATAAACTGGTTAAATTTAAACATCATCATTTTTGGGTCATCCAAAAGCAATTTCCATCCTCCAAATCAAAACACACACACACACACACACACACACACACGCGCGCGCGCGCGCGCGCTTTGTCTGTGCATCTGGCCATAATGCTCTTGGAGCTCTACGATTGGTTGCCTCGGCAGCCAATCACAATGCTTACTGAAACAAGCAGTGTGCTCCGCACAGACAGAGACACAGATGGACGGCCAGATGCGATGGTGGGGAGCGGAGGGTGGCTGTCATGGGTCAGACATGGAGCGGAGGGGGGGCCGAACTCTTGAAACTCTCCAGCTTGGAGGTGGCAGCGGCATGGGGTAGTGGCAGAGGGGGATGAAGGGGAAGGCAGGGATGGAATGGGACAGTGGAACGCCCCCATGATGGCAAGTATAGAGTTGAATGGCGAGGCCAGCACTGCTGGCCTTGTCTATCCCGTCCCCTCCCCTCCCCGGCCCTGCTCCTTGGAGGTGGCAGCAGCGCAGGGTGGTGGTGGAGGGGGATAGAAGAGACTGCAGTGTAAGTCTCCCCCACCCCCCTCCTGGGAGGCAGCAGGGGCATGGGGTGGTGGCATTCCTTCCCTGCTTCCCCCTGCCCCCTCCCCCCATCATCCTTGATGGGCAATTCGCTAGTTCTTATATAATAAAGGGCTTTGTCTGTCTGTCTGTCCATAACCCTCTTGGAGCTCTCTGACTGGTTAGTGAACCAGAGTGTGGAGCACCACCATGATGACGGGGATGGAGAGGCACCTCAGAGGCAGCAGCGGTGCAGCATAATAGATGGCAGTGCTCCATGTCCCCCCCGTCATTCTTGATGGACAATTCGCTAGTTCCTTTTTATAAAAACGTTGAATAGTCAAGTATTTCTGACATCCACTCCTGAGAGATTAAAATATATTGGCTCTACTTATATTTCAAAATTATGGGATATATCCTCAAAGCTACAGGTGAAAAGCACACAGCCAAAGCAAGGGAAGGCAGAAGTGAAGGGGGAAGGAGCTATCAGAAGGACTAAAACTCATCTCTGAACTACCCCAATCCTGCTGACACTCTATGCTATGATAATCCCCAGGTACAGGCTTAAAGCAACTTGAAAGCTGCCCACTTTATGGTGGTTGATAGTTTTGCCACTGCTGAGGATCACAAATGGGGATCTTCTAGAGTACAAAAAGACATGAAGGCTCTTACATCATTCTTTCTCTTCATATGTTGGCAGTAAGGAAGGGGAAGACACAGGAGCTTTTGTGCCTGCCCTAGTCTCACACTGGATCTACCTTTTGCTGGTGGGAGGTAAATGCAATAATCTAGGACAAACCTTTGGAGGCTGAATGATCCAGTTTTAAGGTCATATATTACACTACAAAGTGGCTGCACTATATAAGCAAATCTAGCTTCGTATATAATTTTACTTCCAAATGCACACATTAGCTGTGAAAACTCACTGACATGGTATACGCACCTCTGCACAGACTGGATGAATTCCTATTGTGCTGTCCAACTGCTCTTTTGTCAGTCCACACTTGATGGCAGCTGCAAACCCCTGGGTAACTTCTCCAGCATTTGGGCCAAGCACATGGAACCCAATAACTCTCTTCTAAATAACAGAGAGAAGTAAATTCAAATAGCCTCATGCATTTATTCTTTTCAGATTATTTTGAAGATTTTTGGCACTGGTAAGACTATAAGACTCTTAAGTTAATATATAATTACACAAATATAGATATAAATATAAAATTATCATTCCCACTACAAAAGGAAAATTGTAAAAACAATTTTGGTATGTCTATGAAACAGAAAGAAATGACAAGAACTAGAGCATCAGCTCTCTACACAGTTTTGTGCAAACAGTCATCTGACAATGCTAAGGACACAAGTATGACGTTGTTGCATAAGTTGTGTCTGATTACTGAGTGTGACAGATTTTGCAAATCCATGAGAATTTACTGTTTTCTGAGGTATGTTTTCCCACTAACTTCAATTAGATTGTCTGAGAAAAAATAAGCATGTGTGCAGTATTGGGGAGCACAGTGAGCAGCACTGGGGCTATATTAGGTGGCCATACACTGCATATTTATTCTCATTTAAATGAAAAATAAATTTTAAAAACTTCCCATTTAGAAGCTGTTTATATTACAGTATGCATTACAATGCAAGAAAAGCTTATAAATAATTCTAATTAGCTTTTTGATTAGACTGATGTAATTGATGAATTAAATCATTACTGCTGAAAGGTGGCTTCAGGCAGACATTCACTGACAAGTAATACATTCTGTCTCAACAGTCAAAATCAAAACATTGGCTCATGGATGCGATGACAGGTATACAATAGGTAAATTAGAAACTATTCTCGGGTCGTAATATTTCTTATAAAACACAGATAATGTATCTGGCAATTGCTGAAGCAAATTTAAAGGCATATAGTCACTAGCAAATTATCACTCATATCAGTACACCAATGTTCAAGTGAAAAATATTTGGAAATGTTCTAGCATCTCTCTTTACTGAAGCTTGGAGAGAATAATCTATACAGATCTATGGGATTTTTATTGTTACTATCTTGCTCTGTGTTTTAATACTTCAGGACAGATCCTCAGCTAGTGTCAACTGCTAGGATGAAGTTACCCTGCCTTATACTGGCTGAAGATTCATCCCTGTTGTTACTCTGTAGCAAATCTGCTGTGTATCAAGTCTATCTGCACTGCTAACTATAGAGTACAGCCTTTGTGATTACAGTTTAAGATTATGTTTCCTCATTAGTGAGCAGCAGGGCCATTAAGAACTTCTGGTAGATTTCCAGAATAAGGAATAGATAGAACCTTAACATTTAAAATCAAATACAGTCCATTTTTTTAAATGCCATTAAGAGGAGTTTCAGGCATGAGAGAAATAGATAACATATAACAAGTTTCATCTTGGATAATCTTTCGCACTACAGATGTTTGTTTAGATTTATTATAAATGGTCAAGACAATCAACATGAACAAAAGTAATGGCAAAATCCAAAACCCACTGACGTTAATGGGATTCTTTAGACAGCGTTGGGGGGGGTGTATAAAGTAAATGGTAACTATTTAAAAAGTCTGTTAACATTCAGGTCAGGTTAGTGACAAACTGAAATGATATGATGACAATAGCCCCTAAAATGATTACACAGCTGCTTCTTGACCACGGGGAAAATACACTTACGTTATCTTGAATATTGCAAATTATCTTTGCATAGCATTTGTTGTTGTCTCTGCCTGGGACCGTCCATTCCAATGGCCAGAAAAAGCTATGGTATACCTGGGAACAGAATACAGATATTAAACACATTTTATAATTTACAACACAGAAGAAGGATGTTTCAAAAACAGTCAGCACTGGCCTAACTCCACGCTACTGAAATCAAAAGAGCAAAAGGGCTCAATGAAAGCAGTTATACTGACCCTTGGGTATTTTTTAAAATCTCCTATATATTTTAAAAACTAATATACCTGTGGTCCGTGGACCCCTGGAGGTCTGCCGACTTTGTCTAAGGGGTCCATCAAACATGGCTACGATCATTTAAAAGTATGTGAATACCCACACTTACAATTCAAAGGGGTCTGCACCTCCATTCCAAATTTTTCAGAGGTCCGCAAATGAAAAAAGTTTGAAAACCACTGCTCTATATAAAGATCTTCTTACCCTATTTTTAAACTCAACAAGATTGCTTTGTTTTCTAAACGTTTTAGGCAGAAGGTAGGCAAGGAGATACCAACATCTTAGTAGCCAAAGTACCACAGATGTGTTAAAGTGATTGCAATTAATCAGACTGGAATTTAGCCATGGCAGATTGAAATTCCTTTACAGGCTCCTTGGAGCAAAATTTCAGAACTCTAATGGAGGAAAAGCACAGGCATGTGCCACAGTCCTTTCCAGTCTGGCTGTGCAGCCAGCCTGTGGGCAGTTTTACCTGGAGGTTACAGCAACACCAAGTTGAGAATCACTGAGGTAAGTTGAACACAACAGTGCTTCTCAACTGGGGAAGTCACTAAATTTTAAAAAGTTGTGGAAAGATGCCCTAACTCTGAAAAAGGTCGAGAACCACTGCCCTACACAATCATTCCCCCAAACCAGGCTCCCACAGTGACTTCTGTGGTAAGTGCAAGGACATCATAACAATCATACTCATGCCAAGATATTTTTCTTGCATTTTTCTATAGTGTGTTTTGTAGAATAAATGTGTTATCTAGATCCCATTCCTGCAAATGCTTATGCATACTTAATTTTACTCATGTGAAAATCCCAACAGATTTAATGGGATGATTCACACAAGAAAAAGCCAGTAGTTGCGTGTTGTAAAATCAGGGCTTTGGTACAAGAAGGAACAATTATCATTGCAAAATTGCTGTCTGCGTATGAGGAACATGATAAAGAAACTGCTGTACTCAGGCAACTTTGACATCAAAGCCAACTTATTCATTTATGTTATGTTAGTTATGTTTGAAGACCAAGTTTTATTGTTTTTTTTTAAATAATATTTCATACCCAAGTCCTGTTTTCCAAGAAGAGAACCCACTTGAAGTCAGGTTTACCACAACTGCAAGCAAATGTTAATAACAAGTTTTTGGGTCCAACTAACAAAACAAAAAGCACCTAGAATCCTCTTCCTTCAAATCAGAAAGGTGACCAGATATTATTTTAATTAACATAAATGTTCTTTTAAATTAAAAACTAGAACTAAAGATCTTACCTCAATATTATTCTCCCCAAATTTCTCCATAGCTTTCTCCTCTGAAAATCCACAGGCTCCATATTCCATTGGAGTGAACACAGTAGTTGGAACATTCACATAGTCACACTGTGTAGGATAACAGTGAAAATGTAATTTTGTTTAACACCATCCATATCAATATTAAATCATGGCAGTGCTAACGTTTCAAATATCTGGAACATGAGAAGAAGACATGAGGAATTCATAACCCGAAAAGATGCACTTTTAGATAACCATGGTCTTGGGTCTTGTTTCCTTTTAGAGGGGTCAACTGGCAAAATTATAGGGTAAAGATGAAATTAATATGTATGACTTACAGAGAGAAGAGAGAATTCAGTGCCCTGCTTTCAAATGTAACAGATTTCCATGACAAATTGGCTATAAATGATAGATTTTAAAATTCCATCAAAATAAGAGTTCCTACAAACCAAACGCTGCACAGTTCACACATCTAGAAATCATTCCTTCTTTCACTAGCATAGTCTAAAATATGAAGTGTAAATAATGAATGAAAATATTCATGAAACAGGCTTGGAACTGCCGAACAGATCAATGTGCCAGATCATGCACCTCTGAAGCCAAGGAGAGTTTTCCCATAACTTCAGCTCTATCTTCGAAGAACTCCAGTTGCTGGCACAGATCATGTCCCTTTCCTCAAAGACAAGTATTCTCAACAGAATATATACACTATCTTTATATATTTGGAAATCTGCAACTTGCAAATAATACAATCAAGTCAAAAAGGCAATATGCATAAACTAAATAAAATCAGATGCAATTTTCTTTATCATATTACAGAAATTGACAGATGCACCATAGACCCAGAGCTCTTCTCCCTGGCCTGTTTTCCTAAAAAGTTCTTACTCTCACTTTAAAACAAGGGAAAAAAACCTCTCATAAATTATTATATTGATAAGGAGTTACTTTTAATGAATTTTCTTTATAGCTAGGAATCACCTAAGCCTCTTTTTCCCTGCCTATTCATGCACATTTTTATGCCTCAAAGTCACTCATTTTTAGCTTGGGGGAGGGGGGAAAGGGGGGAAAGAGTAGTAAAAGTTAGGATGCTATCTAAATAACTAGTTTTCTGAAATCATTGACCAAGATGACTCTTGCTTTGGCAGTATAAAATTCTCAATTTACTAAAATGGAGCAATCTGGCACAAAATTTAAATTAAGACATATTCTGAGTATTAAAATAAAAAAATTGGCTCCAGTTACTGATTTTTTAAGACTTGCTTGGCTGACGTAATGACATTATGCTCATTGGTTCAGACTTCTGTTACAGTAATACATGCCAGCCTAAAATAAACAAATCAATCAAACACCAAAGCTGGTTAACAATTGAACCCGATATGAATATTCAAGTTCTCACAAGAAAAGAAATCTTTGCACTCAAATTCTGTGGATATGAGGACCCTATTAGTACCCAGGCAGATGAATAGCACTCTGAAGAAACACTTTTTTTTTCTTTTCATATAAAGGTTGTAAGGTGTGATTTAATATTGGGATACTTCTATTTTATGCCAACATAAATCCAAAATTCTACTGGGGTAAAAAGGAACAAACAATGCACATGTCTGCACTGTCTCATTATAGCACCAAGGAGTGCCATACTGAGACATGCTATGCACCATACCCCCGGAAACAGAAGAAATGCACTGGGCACAAACCAACAAACTGTCCCTACAAGAAGCCCAGTGTGATTTAGCTCAGTACTGCCTTTTTCCATATTGGGGTGGTATAGACATGTCTTGTATGTAAAGATAGATTTCTCAAATGTGCTAGGGGATCATTCTTTCATGAATATTTAGAGAACTCGTAGTACTGTACTACAATGAATATACGAAGATGGGAAGTAAAAATATTAGTTCATATACTATTGAGAATTAACTGCACTGCAAAACCCTACTACAATCCCTTTATGGACAATAAATAGAACTATTAAATGTCTTATGAATTAGACTTAATGAATTTAAAGGAAATGACAATTATAGGGTAGACTGAAGCTAAAATTTAGTTAAATTAGTTCAGTTAATTTTACTATTATACTCTCAGAGAGAAAAAGATATTAATTTTGCCTGCACTATAGACAAAACAGATCAGCAGTAATATCTTTGTAAAGGGAAAATGGGAGGGATCAAAACTAATGCTCAAAACCATGCTATGAATTGTACATTAACATGTGGATTAATATATTGCATTTAAAGTTTAGAACAATGATAGTTTTGTCAAGATAACCCACTACTTACTTTTAAGGTTGCTCCAGCATAAAGCCTCTGAGTCAACAGTCTTCCTGCTTGGATTGCTACTGGTGTGAGTTCCAGCTTGTCCTCCAACACATCTCCAATGGCATAGATGTAAGGGACATTAGTCTGCTCCTCATCATTGGCAGGAATTTTTCCTGATCTGCAAATTGAATTAATATGAAACAAGCCATGCAATATATTCAGTGCAGCAGTCTAAAAGAATAAAATAGCAATAGCCTGGGGAAGCAGTGCCTTTTGGCTCCAGAAGAAGGATGCTTATTGCATCTGCTTCAGACACTTTTGGGCAGCCAGACAAAACAGTCTTAAAAGTCTGCCTAAAGCTCCACAAGGAAACCCCTATTATTTAGCTGCTTCACTTCTCCAGCACAACAAACATGTAATGTATTTACCTGAATCCAAGATGAGGTTTTTTTCCGTATTCAAGAAGGGGAGCAAAGCCCCTCATCTTGGATTTGGGTACAAGGCAGAGGGAGGGGCAGGCTGCTAAAGCTCCAACTCCAGCCCCAACCTGGGTGGGGGGTTGGAGTTGCAGCCACAGCAGCCACCTGCTCCCTCCCACCCTGACTTGCCTGATCACCATCTACCCCCTGCTCTGCTGCCTGGTGTCCTGGAGCTGCTGCTACTCCTGCTGCATGACTGGACCGGGACCAGGGCTACCCTGTGTCTGTGCCCCTGACTGGAATGGGGCCAGACCCATGTCAGATGGTAAGATGGGGTGGGCAGAGATTGCAGAGGAGGTAAGCAGGGGAGCAATGGCTGTGGGGTAACAGAGACTGCAGGGTGCAGGTGGCTGGGGATGAAGGCACCATAGGGTGGCAGGCATGGGGGGGAGGCAGAGATCAAGCTGCTGTCCCTCCCCATGCCCCCCCACCAGCTGCCTGCCCCACTTCTGCTGCTGCTTTCCCCACTGTAGCACTGAAGGGGAGACAAATTTAAGATGGCCCTCCAATAGTTAGATTTGATACATTAAA